CATACCCTCTAGTCGTTAATGTATGCACATGGCTGTCAAAGGAAGGATCATTGACAGTCTAGCCTTACCCTCTTGATGTTTCACCGGGGTCAAGATGGTGGTACCTAAATGTGGACTAACTGTGTCTCACTGGACAAACTGGTGCAGAGTTTCTGGTAAGCAGTTTATGCACTAAGGGCTTTTAAAATGTTTAGTTTATATGGCAGGTTTTCCTAAAACATTAGCAAAGAAAAAGGTTGCTTTAAATTAACTGTATATTTAAAACAAACATTTGTGCATAGTTTGTAGGTAGAAAAGCTAAAGCAAACATTTTGGAGAGTAAAACAGAGTTATAAGTGTCCTGTGGAAAATTAAATAGTTGTTTGACTGTGCATTCATTGAACGTCAATATCACATGCAGGTTGAAAGCAGTGTTTTGGCAGATGGTAGCTTTTAGAGATGAGCGAATCGAACCAGGCGAACCGGAATTCGAGTCGAATTTCAGGAAATATTCGATTCGCGGCGAAACCGAAATTTTGCCTACTTCGGGTGCGCGAATCGAACATTTCCCGATCAGCCGGCAAAAGTGTCCCTGCAGTGAGCTCCGCTATTTCTGACAGTTCTCTGACAGAAGGAACACATGTTTAGCGGTTGAAACATTGTATCTATTAGTTTACATTTAGGATACAGATGTTTCAACCACTGTTCATGTGAAGAAGCTGTGAGAGAACTGTCAGAAATAGAGGAACTCTGCACATACACTTTTTGCCGGCTTGGAATTATTCTTCTTTTCATCCTACTTCTTCTTCTTCTTCATCTTCATCCTCAGAAGAAGAGGATGAGGATGAGGATGAAGAAGAAGAAGAAGAAGTAGGATGAAAAGAAGAATAATTCCAAGCCGGCAAAAAGTGTATGTGCAGAGTTCCTCTATTTCTGACAGTTCTCTCACAGCTTCTTCACATGTACAGCGGTTGAAAATACAGATGTTTCAACCGCTGTACATGTGAAGAAGCTGTGAGAGAACTGTCAGAAAATAGAGGAACTCTGCACATACACTTTTTGCGGGGCTTGGAATTATTCTTCTTCATTAATCTTCTTCTTCTTCTTCTTCTTCTTCATCCTCATCCTCATCCTCTTCTTCTGAGGATGAGGATGAGGATGAAGAAGAAGAAGAAGCAGTAGGATGAAAATAAGAATAATTTCCAAGCCGGCAAAAAGTGTATGTGCAGAGTTCCTCTATTCTGCAGATACACTTAGAGGAGCTCTGCACATACACTTTTTGCCTGTTTGGAATTAATCTTATTTTCATCCTACTTCTTCTTCTTCTTCTTCTTCTTCTTTATCCTCATCCTCAGAAGAAGAAGAAGAGGATGAGAAGAGGAGAAGAAGAGAAGAAGAAGAAGTAGGATGAAAATAAGAATAATTGCAAGCCGGAAAGTGTATGTGCAGAGTTCCTCTATTCTGCAGATACACTTAGAGGAGATACACTTAGAGGAGCTCTGCACATACACTTTTTGCCGGCTTGGAATTAATCTTATTTTCATCCTACTTCTTCTTCTTCTTCTTCTTCATCCTCATCCTCATCCTCAGAAGAAGAAGAAGAGGATGAGGATGAGGATGAAGAAGAAGAAGAAGAAGAAGAAGAAGTAGGATGAAAATAAGAATAATTCCAAGCCGGCAAAAAGTGTATGTGCAGAGCTCCTCTAAGTGTATCTGCAGAGCTCCTCTAAGTGTATCTGCAGAATAGAGGAACTCTGCACATACACTTTTTGCCGGAAACCGCTGTATGGAGGGAAAACTGTCTGTCTATTTCTGACATGGGACATTCATGGAACTGTTTCAGAGGGAATAGACTGTCAGAAATAGACTATTAATGACAGTTCTGGGACTGTCCTTCCATACAGCGGTTGAAACATTGTATGTATTTGTTTCCATAAATGGATCCATTTATGGAAACAAATACATACAATGTTTCAACCGCAAATAGTCTATTTCTGACAGTTCTATGACATTCCCTCCATACAGCGGTTTGAAACAGCTGTATGGAGTGAATGTCCCAGAACTGTCAGAAATAGACTATTTATGACAGTTCTGGGACATTCACTCCATACAGCGGTTGAAACATTGTATCTATTTTTTTCCATAAATGACATTCTGCAGATACACTTAGAGGAGCGCTGCAGATACACTTTTTGCCGGCTTGGAATTATTCTTATTTTCATCCTACTTCTTCTTTTTCTTCTTTATGAGGATGAGGATGAAGAAGAAGAAGTAGGATGAAAATAAGATTAATTCCAAGCCGGCAAAAAGTGTATCTGCAGCGCTCCTCTAAGTGTATTTGCAGAATGTCATTTATGGAAAAAAATAGATACAATGTTTCAACCGCTGTATGGAAGGACAGTCCCAGAACTGTCAAAATAGTCTATTTCTGACAGTTCTGGGACATTCACTCCATACAGCTGTTTCAACCGCTGTATGGAGGGAATGTCATAGAACTGTCAGAAATAGACTATTAATGACAGTTCTGGGACTGTCCTTCCATACAGCGGTTGAAACATTGTATGTATTTGTTTCCATAAATGGATCCATTTATGGAAACAAATACATACAATGTTTCAACCGCTGTATGGAAGGACAGTCCCAGAACTGTCATTAATAGTCTATTTCTGACAGTTCCATGACATTCCCTCCATACAGCGGTTGAAACAGCTGTATGGAGTGAATGTCCCAGAACTGTCAGAAATAGACTATTTCTGACAGTTCTGGGACATTCACTCCATACAGCTGTTTCAACCGCTGTATGGAGGGGAATGTCATGGAACTGTCAGAAATAGACTATTAATGACAGTTCTGGGACTGTCCTTCCATACAGCGGTTGAAACATTGTATGTATTATTAAAATGGATCCATTTATGGAAACAAATACATACAATGTTTCAACCGCTGTATGGAAGGACAGTCCCAGAACTGTCATTAATAGTCTATTTCTGACAGTTCCATGACATTCCCTCCATACAGCGGTTGAAACAGCTGTATGGAGTGAATTGTCCCAGAACTGTCAGAAATAGTCTATTTCTGACAGTTCTGGGACATTCACTCCATACAGCTGTTTCAACCGCTGTATGGAGGGAATGTCATGGAACTGTCAGAAATAGACTATTAATGACAGTTCTGGGACTGTCCTTCCATACAGCGGTTGAAACATTGTATGTATTTGTTTCCATAAATGGATCCATTTATGGAAACAAATACATACAATGTTTCAACCGCTGTATGGAAGGACAGTCCCAGAACTGTCATTAATAGTCTATTTCTGACAGTTCTATGACATTCCCTCCATACAGCGGTTTGAACAGCTGTATGGAGTGAATGTCCCAGAACTGTCAGAAATAGACTATTTATGACAGTTCTGGGACTGTCCTTCCATACAGCGGTTGAAACATTGTATCTATTTTTTTCCATAAATGACATTCTGCAAATACACTTAGAGGAGCGCTGCAGATACACTTTTTGCCGGCTTGGAATTAATCTTATTTTCATCCTACTTCTTCTTCTTCATCCTCATCCTCATAAGAATAAAAAAGAAGAAGAAGTAGGATGAAAATAAGAATAATTCCAAGCCGGCAAAAAGTGTATCTGCAGCGCTCCTCTAAGTGTATCTGCAGAATGTCATTTATGGAAAAAAAATAGATACAATGTTTCAACCGCTGTATGGAGTGAATGTCCCAGAACTGTCATAAATATAGTCTATTTCTGACAGTTCTGGGACATTCACTCCATACAGCTGTTTCAACCGCTGTATGGAGGGAATGTCATGGAACTGTCAGAAATAGACTATAATTAATGACAGTTCTGGGACTCTGACAGTTCCATGACATTCCCTCCATACAGCGGTTGAAACAGCTGTATGGAGTGAATGTCCCAGAACTGTCAGAAATAGACTATTTCTGACAGTTCTGGGACAATCACTCCATACAGCTGTTTCAACCGCTGTATGGAGGGAATGTCATGGAACTGTCAGAAATAGACTATTAATGACAGTTCTGGGACTCTGACAGTTCCATGACATTCCCTCCATACAGCGGTTGAAACAGCTGTATGGAGTGAATGTCCCAGAACTGTCAGAAATAGACAGAAACTGTCACAGAACTGTCCTTCTTCTCATCTTCTCCTTCTTCTCATCCTTCTTCTCTCATCCTTCTTCTCATCCTTCTTCTCATCCTTCTTCTCTTCTTTCATCCTTCTCCTTCTCATCCTTCTCCTTCTTCTTCTCATCCTTCTCCTTCTTCTCATCCTTCTCCTTCTCCTTCTTCTCATCTTCTTCTCCTTCTTCTCATCTTCTTCTCCTTCTCCTTCTCATCCTTCCTTCTCCTTCTTCTCATCCTTCTCCTTCTCCTTCTTCTCTCATCCTTCTCCTTCTTCTCATCCTTCTCCTTCTCCTTCTTCCTCTCCTTCTCCTTCTCCTTCTTCTCATCTTCTCTCCTTCTCCTTCTTTCATCCTTCTCCTTCTCCATCTCTCTCCTTCTCATCCTTCTCCTTCTTCTCATCCTTCTCCTTCTCCTTCTTCTCATCCTTCTCCTTCTCTTCTTCTCATCCTTCCTTCTCTTCTTCTCATCCTTCTCCTTCTCTCATCTTCTCCTTCTCTTCTCCTCATCCTTCTCATCCTTCTCCTTCTCCTTCCTTCTCCTTCTCCTTCTCTTCTTCCTTCCTTCTCTTCCTTCTCCTTCTCCTTCTTCTCATCCTTCTCCTTCTCCTTCTTCTCATCCTTCTCCTTCTCCTTCTTCTCATCCTTCTCCTTCTCCTTCTTCTCATCCTTCTCCTTCTCTTCTCCTTCTCTTTCCTCATCTCCAAGGGCATTTAAATTAAAGGTACAGTGTTCTGCACTAAATTTAAAGGCTCTCTGAAGCCTAGAAACCCTTTTTATAAGTCATCTTCGTAGCGAAGAAATTCGCATCGAATCGAATTTCACACTGGAATTCGCCGAATCAGCCGAATCGAATTTTTGAGAAATTCGCTCATCTGACTGTGGTGGACATTCTGACACTGGGGGGGGAACTGACTTGGTGTCACTGACATTCCCAGTGACACCAATACAGTGATCAGTGCTAAAAAAAAGCACTGACACTGTACTAATTTCACTGGGCAGGAACGGGTTAACCTGAGGGGAGATCAAAGGGTTAACTGTATGCTGGGAGTGGTTTCCTAGGGGGGCGGTGTCGGTGTGTTTACTGTAATCAAACTACTTTGGATCCAAAGCAGTGTGCCCCAGCTGACAGAGAGGAGAACTGTTAGTAAACAAAAGAGTTCTCCTCCCCATCGGAAATCCTGGGAAAATCACCGGGCTATGACGAGTGTAATCACCGGCTGGGACCCAGTGATTGACAACCACAGCTGCGAATGGCGGTGCGGGTAGGGCACGTTCACGGCTCGCGCACGCCCCCTACCTGGAAATGCAAAATCATGTATATATACGTGCTTTTGCGCACCCATGCCGCCCTGTTGCAGTATCTCTGCTATAGGGAGGTCGGGAAGCGGTTAAGACACAGAGAAGAAGGTGCTTGAGCTCCTTTGGTTGTGCAGGATCTCACAGGAGATGGCGGGTAGGTGCCTGGAGCTTCATGTCTCTTTGGAGCACCTTGTACCAGCTTATCAGCAGCCCTTTAGCTGACAGATCACTGCAGCTCTAACTGTTAATATAAAAATGTGCCAAAATTTATACAATCCACCCCATAAAACAAATACATATATTTGCTATAAGTGTTCAAAATATATAAAAAAGTCCAAAAAGAAATAAATATAAATCCAAAAATTATGAAAAAAAAAAATATAAAAATAAAAATGAAAGTCCTTCCAATCCTTTCTCACGATGATAAAACCTCAAAAAAAGGAAATATCACATAGTGTATTATCTTTTTAGTACAACAAAATATTCGTGACAACACTCTAGTGATTATCCAAATAGGAATATCATTTTTCCCTTTGGTAATTAGTGTAAAAGGTGAATCAAGTGAACAAACATAAATTCAAAAATAGTGCAAAACACTGTGTATTGTGAATCACTTTACAGTGCTCCAAAACAAATCCACACCGTGCCACTTCTATTATAGTAAGGAATGCATACCCTTACCAACACTCCTCAATAAACCTGCTTTCAGTATTTTATAATGTCATATGGATGGGACCCTCCTGTAGTGCTTCCCCAGATTTCACTGCATTCAAGGCACTATATGGGCAGGATACTCCATGTATTGTTAATAATTCAAATCCGCTTTTCAATACCATCATAACGCCAAGCTACCATCCAGGAAACATCCAGGGACCAACACACAGTCTTTTTCCCTTTTCCAAAATGGCCGCCGGTCGACTTCCGGTTCCTGTATGCGTCTTGACGTCACAGCCCTTGACGCGTTTCGTCATCGACTTAATCATTATTATGGCCGATGATCAGAACAGACACATGCATAACGCAGCTCTGACACGGGAACATTATTACAAGCTGTGTGTGTTGTATAGAGGGCTTGAATGTACGGAAATGGACAACCCAACCCCCCCCCCCCCTTGGAGTAGTATGACCTTCTAAGGAAAATGGAACATTCCTGAAAGGAGATTAGTGGGCTGCCTTTCCATTTAGTCAGTTTACAATCACATTCCTATGACCTGTGGTCATTTAAGGTAACCAGAATAACCAAGATATTATATATTTGTGAGGCAAGGAAATGTGAAATATGCATTTTTCCCATAAAGGCTACAAGTGACCATTTCAACACACATTACATAGACATGGTCCACTGTCCTTACAAAGTGCAAACCCATTCTACGAAATGTCATACACTCTTTTTTGGAGTGCATGCATGTAGACAAAAAGGCTACCGGAGATCAAGATCAAGGTGCAAGAAATGTGGTGATGTATTTTTAAAAATGATGAATGTTCATGTTCAACGATGATTTAGCAAACTAAATGTCATTTGGTTAGGGCTTACATCTATGTTAAATAATTTTTCAGTCTGTAAATGCTATGGCAGGAGTTATCTTTGTACACAGTGCTCTTGATCATTAAGTACACTCAAAAATGATTGGATCTGGTTAGCTTAATTACTTGCTGGATTTTTACATCCCATGGAGACTAAAGGCAAGGAGTCCCTGCCATAGCTGGTGTTTCTTTTCTCACTATGCTTATTATTGTTCTTAATATTATAAAATAAACTAAGAATCCTATGGTTAGGTAATACCCACCATAAATGGGCAGGCCTAAGAGCTAAGGTACAAAGATTGTATCTCATAAAGCTTTTAATATAAGTATCTGCAGCATCTACCAAAAACTGAAATATGAGTTTGGGGTTAATTGAGCCTTTAGTGTGTCTTTGTATATTGTAAAGGCAGGAATAGTGATAGCAACCCAGGAAAAATGTAATATGCATGTAAAAATGTACAAGTACCCGTTAAGATATTTGGTAGGTAACCAAAACATGAGAGCAGTACACAGTGGTGTATTTAGGTTTTGTGCTGCCCTAGGCAACACAAAAATCGGACGCCCCCCCCCCCTCCCGGCAGAGAGAGAGCCTGACACCGACCAACAGCAGACCCTCCAAACTCCCCCCCCCCGGGGAGAAAGCCCAACAGTGACCGACAACACCCCTGCCCCATCCCCCCCACCCGAGATATCCTTCCACTAACATCTAACCCCCCCCCCCCCTCATGGTGACAGAGAGACACCTTCACATCTCTGGATATCCCAGAGAATGACAGTTGGGCTCTGCATACACCATCAAGCACCCCACAGCCTCTCTCAGATCCCACCTGGTCACCATGCCACATATGTCACTTCTTCTAGGGGGCAGTGTTGCCCCCCTAAAAATGCCACCCTAGGCAAATTCCTTGTTTGCCTTGTGGTAAATATGCCCCTAGCAGTACACAACCATTGAAGGATTTAGAAGGTCTGATCATTTCCCCAGCTGTACCCAGTTTACAGTGATCACAAAGTAATAGTACACTAATCTTTTCACCTGCAATTCGGTAAAGCAACCCAGAAACATACAGCTTAGCCAAACTTTAAAACAAAGTAATCTCTAATCAAATGGACCAGCAGTAACACCATCCTTGGAAATACACAGATTATAATACCATAAAATGTCTGTAGACATTAAAGTTTTCAGGGTTACAGCATACTTAGTTGTCTTTAGAGCAGAGAATGCCACTTTAACAAACATTCTCTGGTGGAGAACCTTTTGAAAGTCACATTCTTTGCTTATTACATAGACTCAGTGTATTTGATACATTTTATTTTGTAAAAATCTGTATATGGATTAACCTCCCTTGCGGTATTCCCGAGTGTAGCTCGGGGTAAAGTTTCAGTACCAAAAGCGTTAACCCCGAGCTACGGGATTTGTTCTTCACTTACCTTGTCCTGCGCTCCCGCGATGTCCCTCCTGCAGTGTCCCGGGCAATGTTCTCCGGCGGATACCGGCATCTGTCATCTGGGTTCCGTCCCCTGCGAGTGTCGAGACGTACGGGGACGGAACTGACGGGAAATTTCAAAATGACAAAAAGTGACATTCACTAAATACACTAAAATCACATAGTAAAACATTACTGTATCAAACCATTTCACATACATTTCGTCCCTACTGCTTTGTCCTGTGCCCTGCCTGCATTTTTACTGTTCTTTTTGCCTGGAAACTAAGAAATGTCCATAGCGTCCAAAAATCGTCCCTTTAGGTCAAAAGCGGTTTTAGACCAGCTAGAAAACAGCGATAGTAAATCAGAACCACTTGCAGAATTGAGTGATGATTTGTGGGGAAATTCGTTATCAGACACTGAAAACGATTTTGCGACTTTTCTCAGTGATGTGTGAACTTGGCGCTATATTTCAAATTTCAGTGTTTTTGGTTTGATTATATTATTGAATTAAATGTATTATTATTATATTATTATTTTTAATGATTATTTATTAAATTATAATTTATGATTTCGTGTTTCAAATTGTAACATACCCGGGATGTTTACTAGACTCTTGTTCGGACAGATTTCAGTGAGTTATTCCTAAAAATTACAGGCCTACAATAAAAAAAATATATTTCCATGCAAAAAAATGTACCGCTTTGAGTACAGAAATATGGACATAATCAGACCGCTAGGGAGGTTAAAGTAAAAAAAGTTGGAGCTGAAAACCAATCTCCAAGTAAGCACTTCACTTAAAGTGTAACTCTGTGCAAACTTTTTTTTTAGTTTTGGGTAAAGTGTTTTTTCGGAACTAAAGTGATGGGGCAATTAACCCCTTTATGACCGAGGGGAAAACAAACCTTAACGCCCAGACCCAATTTTGCAATGACACGGCAAACCTGTAAATATGATCGTAACTACTTTGTGTAGATAGGTGGATTATAACTTGTTTTCTTTTCAGGAAAAAAATGGGCTTTCATTTGGTGGTAAATGGTAACAGATTCTTCCTTATTTCTTTTTAGCATCAAAGGAAAACTGGCTTAAAATAGTATAAAAAATATGTTTTGTGTTTTTTTTTAAGTTTAACTATATATTTCTTGCTATTACCATAACTTACCACAAAAGAACAACCCTCCCAAAAAAATTATCCTGCTCCTGATGATCACAGTGATACTGTATGTATCTTATTTGTTATTTCTACCCATAGTAGGGCCCAGAAACAATAGAGCACATTTTGCTTTTTTTATCCTATCAAAAACACACTGCCACTGCCACTAACTGACACTGATACTAATTAACAATGCAGGTTTTTTTAAATCCTACCTAAAATATGCTGACACTGAGCTTTGACTCTGGCCTTGACTTTTGACCCTTGCCTTGAACCTAGCACCTACAATCCTGACACTGACCTAGATCAAACCTTGATCTAGCTATTTTTTTTCCTAATTTTTTTAATTATTTTTTAAAACACTTTTGTTTCCTTATATTTCTCTCCTGCAAGGAGAGAAAGATACAATGTACCCTTGTTGCCATTCAGAAAAAAAAGAAAACATGGGCGAGCTGCACAGTAACTGATCACTGTGATAGCTAGTCAGAAGCTATCACTGTGATCAGGTGACCGGGATTCTAGAGTCCTGGGCCCAGATTGTTAGAACAAGACCTGGGGCTCTTGATTAGAGTCTGGCCTCATGTGCTGCATGCTCCCAGGACAAACACAAGAACACATATATCCTGTGCCCAGGTTTAAAGCCAATCTCCTGGATGCCTCCTATATGTGTAACTGTGTCGTTATGCGGTTAAACATTTTAAAGTTGTTCCCAGAACAAGACATAAAGTAAATTTTTCTAATGGGGACACCTGTTATGGGTTAACTGTCTAAAGGAATTACCTTCACATTCAGAGATATCTTCCTTCTACAGGGGCATCTCTTGGACAGGACGAAAAGGGAAAGTGGTACACAGACCGCAAAAAAACCCCACAGGCATAGGTTTTAACTATTCCCTACTCTGTGCAAAACAAAAAA